GTCCCATCTCGCACACATGCTCGCAATTCAAACCTACATGGGTGTGCGAGTCAGTTTTACAAGAACCATGTCGCACATATGTTCACTTGGTGCTGCTAGATGGCTGTGTGGCTCAGAAAACAGAGATCCAAGTCGCACAAGATCTCGCAAATTGAACCTACATGGGTGTGCAGGTTGGTGTCTTCTAGGTCCATGTCGCAGCAACAAAGAAATGCTAGAACTTTCAACAAGCTTTATGTGCGACTTTGGTGTGTTAGATAGGAAGGAGAGCAGCACATGCCACACAACTGAAGAAAGCCAAGCTTTATGTGCTACTTAGGTGTGCGAGTTGGTGTCTTCTAGGTCCATGTCGCACAAGGGAGTATAAGCCAGCCAAATCCATCTCTAGTGATGGCTAGCCTCATCTGGTGCAGATACTCACTCCCCCTTTGCATAAACACCACACCAGGTATCACTCCAAACTCGTGTACATGTGAGCATTTAGCATTTTTCTTTATCTTTTGCATTTGATGTTTGTTTTTCCTCTTTCTCATTCTTTTATAACACAAGGGACTGTGTTATTTAAGTGTGGGGAGAGGCTTTGTGTTTACTAATCATGTTTTCTATGTTCTTATTTTTTCTTTTACATTTTGAGTCTCATTTGATCATGCATAGCATTTAAGTGCATAGAAAAAAACAAAAAATTTTGAAAAAATTGAAACAATTTCACAAAAAATGTTCATTTAGTTGCATCATTTGCATGGGAATAATGATAGATTTCTTTGAAAGAGCATCATCTTGAGAATTTGGTTCGTGACCCTAGTTATTAGTTCTTTGATGCTTGCAAGTGATGAAATGTGTAACAATGTTTGGACCTTGATTAAAGCAAACTTTGAATTGAATTCAGCCTTAGCAAGTGGAACTTTTAATCTGATTTTGAATTATCATGTAATGTTTGTTTAGATGAACTTGTGATACTTATACATATTTGAGCTAGAAACCCATTTTTTACCACTTTTTTTCTTAGCTCAAATAGCTGATTCCATACTTTGGATCGGTTTCCACACCCTGAACCCAACCTTCCTTCAAGCCCAATGTTTGTGAGCGTTGAGAGGCCACCTTGGATCAAACTTAGAAGAAAGTGTTAGGTTTAGAGAGAAAAGGGTAAGCCTCATGGTGTTTAGTTCCATCATCAAGGAACAAAGAGGTCTTGGCAAGAATTAAGTGTGGGGGAATGGTTTGTTGGTGAGAGCTCAAAAGAGAGATGTGTGGAAAGTGGAGAGTGATGAGAGCTATGGGATGAAAAGAAAGAAAATGGATTGGGGTCTTGTGTTAAAAAAATAAAAAAAAGCTCTGGTGTTTTAAAAAGGAAAGGTCCAGCCTATAAGTGAGAAGAATGAAAGAAAAGAAACCAAAAGGCTCAAATGTCTAAAGAGATAAGAAAAGAGGCTGGAAAGTGCTAAGTGAAAGAGAGCTAGTGTAAGGTCTAGACCCCAATGTCAGTGTGTATAAATGAAAAGTGAATCCCCTAGTGAGAAAAGAAAAAATGAGTGAGGAGAGAAGTGTGAGACTTTAGGTTAGAGGCATCTTAGGTATTGGGGTGAGATAAGTTCTTGCCCTTGTATGCATCAGTTGCTTTTTACTTTTAACCTTCTGCCAAAATTTGATCATTCAAAGAGAGATCCCTTGCTGCATTAAACACATAATCATTGAATGAGATCATCTTTGTCTCATAATCTCATCCCTTAGCCAAACAAGTTCATCTGAATAAGCACCACTTGATCCACATGGTTACAACTCAATGAATGAAAAAAGGCTGAATGATAAGAATGCTTGTGTAGGTCAAGGTTTGAACTTCTTGCATCAAAAGTATTCCTTGTATTGCATCTTAGAATTAGTAACTAGGACTATGAGCTTGAACTATTTTGATGGTTAACTCTCTCTCTTTAAAAAAATGTGAACTCCCAACCTCCAGCCCTCTCTCTCATTTGTTCTTTTTGCTTGGGGACAAGCAAAGGATAAGTGTGGGGGAGTTGATATATCTATAAAATACATCATTTTAGTGTACATATGTAAGTCCAAATCATGTCTTATTTCATGCATTTTAGGTTCTTAAGCATTAATTTTGGACTTAGGAGCTTGCATTAGGTTCAAAAGAGTTTTGCATGGTTTGGAGTGTTAAACATGTGCTTATGGAGCTTATTTGGAGTGGAGAAAGTGAACCAGATGAAGAAATGGTGTTTAAATGATCAAAAATGGTGGAAAATGGCAATTTGGAGTCTCTCGGAAAAAAAACTGTACCGCAGGTGATGTTTCTCGGCTAAGATCCATACCGTGGGCAGGGTCTCTCGGCTAAAACGCGTACCGGTCGCTCAAGCCTCAGCCAAAAGTCTCTTATGCCGATACGTTTTAAAGACCGCGTTACCGAAAGATCTTCCCGGCCAATTCAGCTTCCGGGGTCTTCAAACAAAAATAAGATAATTGAGTCAAGGTTCCAGAAAACTTGGAATCAAGTCATTTGACGCAGTGATCTGAAAGATATGGCCAACTGAAAACGAACCTATCTCGCGTTCATTCTGGAGCAACCTGATACGCCTCAAAGACGCTGTTACCGGAAAGCCTTACCGTCCGATCTGGCTTCCAGGGTCTTCATAAAAGTTTAAGATCATTGAGTTTAGTTTCCAGAACGCTTAGAATCAGGAGATTTGGAAATATTATCTGGGAGATATTGCAATCTCAAAAAGGACACGTCTAGAAGCCAATTTGGACCTGTGCAATGCACTTCAAAGATCAGCCCTCCGGGAGCCCTTTCTAACTCCGGATACACTCGCACTCTTCAGCAATGTTCTAGATGATTGAGCTGCCTTCCCTGTGGTGTTTTAGTCAGGTCATTTGGACCAGTATTCCAGGAGTTATGCTGCCTCAAACGCAAATTGGTCCAAACAAATGAGAAATGCTGCGACTTGGGTGTGCGACTTGGTTAACTTGCACCCATGAATGTTCATACTCTGGAAGTAAGCTGTGACTTTAAAGATGCGGGTAAGGAGACTCTGAGAAAGGTAGAGACTCCCAGAATCAAATTTGGCTAAGTCCAGAAGGCTGTGGGAGTTGGACATGAAGTGGAGCCATCTAGCACATGTGTTCGTAAATGAGACCAACTTGGACGTGCGACTTGGACAGGGACATGACCATCTCGTACATCAGGCACAAGACCCAACTGAACCGGGTCAGTACCCAGTTTTTCCTGGGCTGAGCCGGTCCAAAACCCTTAGTATAAATAATTTTTTGGAGAAAAACCCTTGACATCTTTCATTCTCTTTTTGAGTTTCTTCTCCCCTTTTTGTCAAAAACGAGTTTTTTAAGAGATGTCTGAAGGATTCAATCAATCTAAAGCTGTTTCTTATCAATCTACCTTGGGTTCAAAAGTTGTGTGCAAGCTGTTTAAGAGCATCATCTTCCCAAGGTTTGGTGTCCCCAGAGTTGTGATCAGTGATGGTGGGACTCACTTTGTGAACAAGACCTTAGAAGGTTTGCTAAGGAAGCATGGGGTTAAGCACAATGTAGCATGGGCTTTGGAATCTTGCACATCATGTATTCGCCAAAATTTTGGGATGTGATGGTTTTATATGATGTTCACTCACAATCTCAACACTCTTCACGGCAAAGAAGAGAAGAATTGATCAACGAATATGCACTTGATGAAGAAGGCGTTGAGGACTCAGACACCGACAGCGGTGATATGCAACAAACACAAGTTTCTGACGCACAAGAGGAAGAAGAACTCTATCGTGTAACTGTTGACGATGATACACGCCATTCAAATGAATATAGAAGTGAACCAGTCCAATATTCTGCTCGTAAAGGCCAACGTGGGAGGGTCAATTTGCAATCTAACGTTAGACAAGGGATTAATTCGCAAAGATTAGGTGGAAGCTCACGGATTTCTGTTCCGAGTGGTTCAAGAGGAGGTCATAGAAGACAATCATTCGAGAACCATACAAGACACCATTGCTGGATATACAGAGTTTCAACGACAAAGTTTGTAACAACTTCGTCCACGTGTTTTTGACCAAGCTGACTATGATGAATAGAAAAAGGCAGAAGCCATATTCCTTGAGCTAAAAATTCCAAAGGGCACTATATTTTACTGGGCATGCCTTAATACATTGAAGAAGTTAGTATTGTGGCGTAAGTATTTCATTGATATAGCGGAAATCATAGACGAGGATAAGCTACAGCTCCTAGAAGCTATGACTGGTATTTCACGGAACAACCAAGATATGACAAAACAGTTAGGTTCTGGCCAATCATTTGGAAGTCCAAATTCAGGAGGGTTATCATCTGGTAGTCCATATTCCGGAGGGAAAAATTCAGGAGGATTATGGCCCTCCAACTTTCAACATTGGGTTAATGCTCAGCAATGGGGTTCACCTCAACCGTTTCCACAATGGAGAACACCACCAAATGCACAACAATGGGGCACACCACCAAATGCGCAACAATGGGGCACACTCCCAAATGCTCAACAATGGGGATTTTCCCCAAAATTTCAACCTTGGGTTTCACCATCAAACTTTCACGCAAGAGGTGAGACACAAAATTTTCAACAAGGCGGCTCATCAGGAATGACTCCAGCCAATTTTCAATATGGATTTCTATTTCAACATGAGTTTTACCAAACGCTCAACCAACAACATCCTGCGATCTTGATTTCACAAATTATTTTGAAACTGGACATCAAATTCCTAGACCATGAGGTATATTTAATATATAGGGTACCACACGAGGAAATAACACAAACGTAAACAAAGGTCGTCAAAGTTTTTCAGAAGATGATGATTAGCTTGTAACAATTGTGTTTAAATATTCTCGTTTATGTAATGAAATAATTAATATTTTTGTTTTTTGTTTTAGCTTTTTGTGTAATTGTTTAATATAAATTTATATTTTCTAATGATGTTTTTTTTATTCTGTGTTTAAAATTTCAGGCTTTTCGTTTATGTCAGTTACGATCAAAAAGCATGCACAACATAAATTACAAAGAGAGAATTGAATTGTGGAATTTGGAAAATGAAAAATTTATGGAGTTAATAATTCATCCAAGTTTGAATTACTATCATCGATATTTTGAAAGAGCGCCTGACCTAACAGACAGAGGTTTGGGATGGACAAATATTTGGCTTCGGCTACAACAAGATGCTAGTCTTCAGTTACTACGAATGTCAATTCCATGTTTTATAATGTTATGTGATACATTACAGACAAATTACAGTCTTCAACCAATATTCAATATGAGCATTGAAGAAAGTGTGGCTATATTTTTACGGATATGTGGGCACAATGAAATTCAAAGAGATGTTGGTTTGAGATTTTGCCGAAATCAAGAAACTGTGCAGAGAAAATTCACTGAAGTTCTTAGGGCTACTGAATTACTGGCATGTGATTGTATTAGAACTCCAACAAGAGAAGACCTAGACAGAGTTCCTGAAAGCCTTATACAAGATCGAAGATATTGGCCATTGTTCAATGGATTTGTTGAAGCTATGGATGGGACTCATGTATGCGTAAAAGTGAAACAAGAATTACAAGGAATTTATTGGGATCGACATAATAATCCATCCTTGAACATCATGAAAATATGTGATTTGAATATGTTTTTCACATATATTTGGAATGGAGCACCAGGTTCATGCCAAGATACAACCGTTTTGACAATGGCTCAACAAAGTGACTCAGAGTTCCCTTTGCTGTCACCAGAGAAGTATTATCTCGTTGATTCTGGTTATCCAAACAAACAAGGATTTTTAGCTCCATATAGATCATCACAAAACACAGTTGTGAGATATCATATGGCTCAATTCAATTCTGGCCCTGCTCCTAGGAATAAACAAGAACTCTTCAATCAAAATCATGCGTCAATGCGTTCTGTTATCCAGAGAACTTTTACATGTTGGAAGAAAAAGTGGAGAATTGTTAAGAAATTTCTAAGATATAGTGTTAAAATCCAAAAGAGAGTAGTAATGACTACAATGGGATTAAACATTTTTATCAAAATTTCAGATTTCGCAGATCCAGATTTTGCAAATGTAATGGCAGAGACAAATATAAACAATATAGATTCTGAATATGATTTAGATGACATTGAAGGAGCAGAGGCAACTGATGGACATTATATGATCTAAATAAGAGATAAAATTGCAGATATGTTGTGGAATCAAAATATTTGATGACTGTTTTTATTGTATTGTACTTAACTTATTCTGAATTATGGTTTTATCTTTTTTAGCAGTATTTGTATCGCAAAGAATAAACTTTTACTTGAAATAAAATTTGAATATTTGAAGTTCATAAATATATGAAATTTTTTATTGACCAAAATTAATAATGTAATTCTAATTATACTAATTATTATGTATTTTTAAAATATATTTATTAATAATCGTTAATCCGTACTGTTTTAGTCTTATTCACCATTCAAACATTTTATTGTAGATCAAAAGCTGTTTTTTCATTAATCAAACATTATTCTGTACCGCTAATTATATAGAAAGTATAATATATTTTTCTGCACGTACCATAGTTAAACCATACCACATTTTTAAATTGATGTTCCCGTACAGCCAAAAACGTTGTCACCATTTAGATTCTAAGAGTGTGGTACGTCAATTGTGGTGCGTGCGGAAAAATATATTTGCGGGACAAGTGCAGTTTGTGCCAAATAAGCGGTACAGAATAATATTTGATTGGTGAAAAAATAACTTGCGATCCACAATAAAATGTTTGAATGGTAAAAATTTAAAAACTATACGAACTACAGATTATAAATAAATACTATATTGAATTATCACAATTGTATTCTTGTTGGTTTTATGTTAGTAAAAAAATATATATATTTGTGAACATTAAATATCTAAATTTAATTATATTTTTTTGATATATATATACTATTAAATTAAGTAAAAAAATCATTAAAATTAAAAACAAAACAACAAAAAAATACCATCAAATATTTGATTTATCCTCAAACAATTTTTTTACACATTTAATAATGTATTCAATAATTTTATACGTTATCAAAATTGTTTATAACTGATAGGAGATCAGTTTGATTTAGTAATTACGATGATTTTATGTTGGTCTTATTCTGATTTTATATATTTATAAATTAAATTAACCATATTCTGATTAGAGATTAATTGATTCACATACATGTAATTTGATACAATTTATTCTTTTTATTTATTTTAAAGCTGATTTTATTTAAAAAGTTTTATTTATTTTTCTTTTTTATGGTATTGCTTGTTTATAAAAAAATAAAAGAAGGAAGTGAGAGAGATGTACTTTTTCGTTATATATAGAAATTTTTATTAATTAATAATAAAAATTCTTAAAAAGAAAGATAAAAAAATGTGTCCATTTTATTTATATGTATTTGATACAATTTATTTAAAGAGTTTTATATTTTTTTTTCTTATGGTTATGTATGTTATTTTGGTTAAAAAGAAGAAAGGAGGAAGTGAGAGTGTTACATATTTTTACGCATATATAAGAATTTTTTTTAATTAAAACATAATAAATATTATATACAGCGATTTTTGGTTTGGGCCGCTGGGATAAGATGGCGTTTCAGGTTTTAACAGAGGTACTCCTTTTTACCATTTCGACAAATCCACTAATTTCATTTAAAAAAAACGTAATTTCCTACATAAAAACACTGATTGGTGATAATACAGCAGTTTTTATCTTTTTTTGTCCAAAACCGCTTTTTCATTCTTACCATTCATAGCCTTAATTGGATAAAGAGATGATTCTTTCAATATTTTATTATAAACCACATCTATTAATTTCAAAATTGGTCAGAAATCTCTCGGTTATACATTCGACAAGATAGATGTGACGCCAAATTCTGTCAAAAACTCTTAGTGAATTTCTAACGGGTAGAAATAGATTGTTTTCTTAGTAAAAATAGACTGTTTTCTTGTAATGTTACATTGTCTTGGAAATGAAAAGTAACATTTAACTTACAAAGTTTAGAAAAAAAAAATGTTAGCTTTGATCAACTTTACAAGTCATAATCAATTTCTCTACATATAAGAGAAGCATTAATATTCATTGACTCCATCTCTTTACATTTCTTGATTTTATCAATTTTCTTTCTTTATACTCCGTGCAGCTGGAAGAAAGAGCTTTTCGAGTGTATGGAAAATGGCAAAGCCGAACGTGTACTAACGCGCGTCCAGAGCCAAAGAGAGTATTTGGATTAGACGTTGTTTCTCAAAGAAACGAAGTCCTTACTTTGCTCTCAAGGTACACACACAATACACCTGAAAAAATTAACTTCTCTTGAAAGATTACATTCCTGAATGCTCTGTTTCTTTATTTTTCAGGGTTGAAGCCAAAGGGAAAGGCATTCTGCAACATCACCAGATCATTGCTGAATTTGAGGCAATGCCTAAAGAAACAGAGAAGAAGCTTGAAGGTGGAGCTTTCTTCGAACTCCTTTGATCAACTCAGAAAGCAATTGTGTTGCCTCCATGGGTTTTTTTAGCTGTTAGGCCAAGACCTGGAGTTTGGGATTACATAAGAGTAAACCTCCTTGCTCTTGTTGTTGATGAGCTTCAAGCTTCTGAGTATCTTCACTTTAAAGAAGAGCTCGTAGAAGGAATGCTCTCTGTCTTTTCTTTTAGTCAACCAATAATATGACTAAATTGCAGTAAGAATGGCATTTTCACTCTCGAGCTTGACTTCGAGCCCTTCAATTCTACATTCCTTCCTCCTACGCTCTCCAAATACATTGGAGATGGCGTTGAGTTCCTAAATCGTCAAAGCTCTTCCACGACAAGGAGAGATTGCGTCCTCTGCTCAAGTTCCTCTGCCTCCATAGCCACGAGGGCAAGGTTTGATCCCCAAACAACTCTTCCCTCCATTTTTTGACTGAATAAAAAGTTTTAATAAGTCTGTTTTACTCTGTGTAGACTATGATGCTTAACGACAAGATCCAGGGCCTAAACATACTGCAATACATTCTTAGGAAAGCAGAGGAGTATCTGATGGAGCTGAAACCCGAGACACTTTACTCGGAGTTTGAGCACAAGTTCCAGGAGATTGGTCTGGAGAGAGGTTGGGGAGACACCGTAGAGCGTGTCCTGGACATGATCTGACTTTTTCTTGCCTTCTCGAGGCACCAGACCCTTGCACTCTCGAAAATTTCCTTGGAAGGATCCCAATGGTGTTTAACGTTGTGATCCTCTCTCCGCATGGTTATTTTGCTCAGGACAATTTTCTTGGTTACCCTGACACTGGTGGTCAGGTTAGTAATTAAACACTTTGAAATGTTCGGTTTTCTTTCTCAACAAGAACTTAACATTACTCCAAGAATCCTCCTCGTAAGCTCAATGATTCTTCTTCTTGTGTCTATGTGATGATGTTTGAAACTTTCTATCTTATGTTTTCACAGATTACTCGGCTGATTCCTGATGCAACAAGAACCACTTGTGGTCAGCGTCTAGAGAAAGTATACGGATCTCAGTATTGTGACATCCTCCGTGTGCCTTTCATAACAGAGAAATGTATGGTTTGCAAATGGATCTCGAGGTTAGAGGTGTGGCCGTTGTTGATATGCCTTGAATCCTGGTGCATAGAAGCTTCCTTGTTGATGCTTGCAGATGCGTGCAGGCTGCACGATTAAGCATACAAGCTGCAGGATCAAGCATGCAGGATGCACGATCTAGCATGCAGCGTGCACGATCAATCATACAGGTTACTTGCAGTATATTAAGTTTACATGCTGCGTTTTGAGGTAGCGTGTGTAGGTTTACACGCTGCACGCTGAAGCTGATGTTGAGATCTACATGCTGTGCAAGCTGATATCAAAGACTACAGCCTGCGTGAGCAATGTAGAGGTCTGCGTGCATTTGGGGCCGCTATTTCTGCATGAAGGTTCTTACATGGGCCTAAGTGAACGAGCCCAATTGTGATTAAGGTTAACTAGGATTTATGCTATAAGTAACCATGTTAACCTAATCTCTGATGTAATCTTAAACTTTCTGTCTCTGTGGTAAAATCAGTCTCCTTTGCCCGTGGACGTAGCCAACACATCGTTGGTGAACCACGTTAATTCTGTGTGCAATCTGTACATTTACTGTTTTCTTCTTGCATCTATTACAACAAACTGGTATCAAAGCTTCAGGTTGTGGGAGTTTTCCGTGTCTGGTGAGAAGATGTCTGAAATAAACGTGAAGATTGACAAGTTCACTGGGAGAAACAGTTTCAGACTCTAGCAAATATAGATGCAAGCATTGCTGTAGCGACAAGGTTTGTGAGCGCCACTAGTTAAAAATAACAAGGGTGACCCTGCTGAGATGGCAAGTCTAGAAGAAAAAGCACATGCATCAATTTTTTTTGTGTCTTGCAGATGATATCATCGTCGAGGTTGCAAGAAAAACGATTGCGGCTGGATTATGGGGGAAGTTAGAGACGTTGTATATGACAAAGTCTCTAACGAACAAGCTGCTTCTGAAACAACGTCTTTTCGAATTAAGAATGCGGGAAGGTATGTAACTCAGGGATCATTTAGATCAGCTAAACACATTACTGCTAGAATTACGTAGTATTGATGTTAAGGTGGAGGATGAGAATGCTGCACTGCTTTTGTTGATATCACTATCGCTATCATACGAGAAATTTGTGCAATCATTTATAGTCGGTAAAGAGACTATATCTCTGGAAGATGTCTGATTATCCCTTCATAGTATAGAGCTTCGACATCAGGCATCATGTACATTTGCAGATAATCAAGCTTTCAGATTGCTTGTTAGTGGTGAAAATAGCAGGCAGAAGAATGTAAGGAGCACATTCTCGAAAGGTTTTAAACCAGATGATATCTGCAATTACTGTAAGGAAAAAGGGCATTGGAAAACTGATTATCCTAAGACGATGAAGCAATCCGCTTCTGTTACTGTAGCCGACGGTGACAGTGTGAGTCAGAAGGAGATATTGCACTGGCTGTGAATGAACACACACTTCCTTCTGATGTGTGGATCCTAGAAACCGGAGCATCCTATCATATGTGTCCACGAAGAGAGTGGTTTTCCACACCTGAGCATATAGATAATGGCAGTATCAAGATGGCTAACAGTTCTGCATGCGAAGTTGTTGGGATTGGATCAATCAACATTAGGACACATGATGGTAGATTCTATACGTTGAACAATGTGAGACATGCTCCTTCTATGACAAAAAAAATTGATATCTCTGACTCTATTGGACAGCAGGAGTTTGAAGTATTCTGGTGGAGATGGAGTGTTGAATGTCTGCAAGGGTTCTAACACGATCCTGAAGGGTTTCATACATGGTATCTTGAACATCTTGCAAGGTTACACGGTTACAGGCTCAGCTAATATTGCATCCCCAAATATTCACAAGGAAGATATGACAACGTTATGGCACATGAGGCTTAGCCATATGAGTAAAAGATGAATGCAAATTCTGTCAAAGGAAAATCTTCTTGGTAGTCATGAAGTCAAGAGTCTGATGTTTTGTGAAAATTGTGTCTATGGAAAGCTTCACCGCAGCAAGTGTCCTAAGACCGTTCATAGAACAAAAGACACACCAGATTATATTCATTTTGACTGTTGGGGTCCTTCTCGCGTGGAGTCTTTGGGAGGTCTCTGATATTTTGTATCCATAATTGATGACTACTCAAGAGAAAACCTGGATGTTCATGCTGACGCACAAAAGTGAAGCTTTCAAGAATTTCAAGCAATGGAAATGATGCGGTCATCGAACCAGAAGAGAAAGCCACAAACCAGAGATGATGCAGCTCAACCCTAATCCACCATGGACATCCTTGAAAAGCCTTTCAGAAGCCCAGAACCATGGAGAATCAAGGAGTGCCGGCCCAAACAAGCCCACAAACTCAAAATCATTCAAATAGCCCGTTAAGGACATATGCTCATCTCTTGAAGGATTTCAGCCCAACCACGAAGAAATAATCCAACACCCTACTTGGTCCACATTCCTGACCCATCAAGGATCCAAGAACAGCTCGGACCTGGCCCAGATCGGTTCATATCAGTTCACAAACCGGCAGTTGACCCGAGAGACATTAAATCAATCAAAAGATAGACTTTCCATATTTGGCACTATGAGGATTCGTGTATGGCATCCAGGAGAGTTTATATTTGATCTAGAAGCTTTTGAGAATCATTCAAATACATCACCATGCAGGAGATTAGGCTGATTCCCTTGACCTCTCATTTTCCATATATGGAGCCAATTACATCAAATATGGTCAACCAGACATATCTCTTTAATTTATTTGAACAGGCTGATTTGGAGACCATAAACAAGATCCAGAATATTCCAAGGCGTCCCTACTTCATGCCCAAGCTGTCCAGATACAAGGAACCTTCACATTTTCCACATGCTACCAAAAATCAAGTAATAAAGGCCATATCAATCAAACCTTTGATTGATTTCTTATTTATATTAATTATTTGATTTATTTTCTTTGTAAAAATGTGTGTATGAGCTCTATATAAGCTCAATCATTTCCTTGTAAAAATCACCCTGGAATTAATCAAAAAACGTTTTAAGTTTCTCTTGCAAAAGTCTTGTCGTTTGTGTTTTGTTCATTAGAATTGTGTGGAATCACTTCTCTTGTGTTTGTGCGATCTATAGAGAGTGTATGTGATTCCTCACTCGAGAAGTCGTGTGAGTCTTTGTCTCTGTGTGGAATCACTTAGACTTAGGCTTGTGATCTCATCTTGAAGGCTTTCACACCTTTGTGTGGTGATCTTCGATCCATCTAACTTGTCAATTTTTACATCTTGTGATCAATAAGATTTGGTGGATTCCAATCTTACATCAGGAATACTTTAGTAGAAAAATCAAACAGTGAAGAAGGTTAAAAGGTTGCGGAGATATACTGGCTTGGAGTTCTGTTTGTTGGATTTTCACTCAATTCTGTATGGATGAAGGTGTTGCGCGTCATCACACAATTAGAGATACACCTCAGCAAAATCGTGTAGCTGAATGGATGAATCAGACGTTACTAGAAAGGGTGAGGTGCATGCTCTCAAATGATGGCTTAGAAATAAGATTTTGGGTCGAGGCTGTAAATACTACATGCTATTTGATTAATCATGGACCACACAAAGGTATTGAATGCAAAACGCCAATTGAGATGGGACAGGTAAACCTGCCGACTACACTTACCTGAAAGTTTTTGGTTGTCCAGTCTATTACCACGTGAGTGAAGGCAAGCTTGAGCCAAGAGCAAAGAAGATAATACATGATCTTCCATCAGAAAGGAGAGTTATTACAAGCAGAATTGTAGTATTCGATGAAAGTTCTATGATCAGATTCTCAGGAGAGCCTACGTTTTCTGCAGAGAGTGGTAGTGTTGACAAGCAGGTGGAGCACGACGTTGAACGTGAAGAGAGCGATGTGCAGCAACACCAAGAGGGTCAAGGAAAATAAGTAAAAGAATTTAAACCAGAACCAACTCTACAAGAAACTCAACCATCTGGAACTACAGCATGCAGTATTGTGAAAGATAGACCAAAGTGGATAGGAGTTGGACCGCCAGTGAGATATAGTTTTGAAGATATGGTCGGATATGCACTACAGATCGCTGAAGAGGTAGATACTTATGAGCCTTCTACGTACAGAGAATCCATATCAGGTATGATGCTGAAAAATGGGTATCTGCAATGGGAGACGAGGTGCAGTCTCATGATAAGAATCAGACATGGGATGTGGTCGGACAACCACCAAGGAGAAAGATTGTTACTTGCAAGTGGATTTTCAAACTAAAGGAAGGGATATCACCTGCAGAAGGAGTCAAGTACAAACCTCGGGTTGTTGCGAGGTGTTTCAATCAAAGAAAGGAGTTGACTACAACAAGTCACCAGTAGTCAGAGACACTTCAATCAGAGTGCTGCTACCAATATTGGCATGTCAGGGTCTGCATCTTGAACAACTTAATGTGAAGACTGATTTTCTTCATGGAGAGTTGGAAGAAGAGATATACATGACTCATCCTGAGGGTTTCGAAGTTCCAGAGAAGGAAGACTATGTGTGCAAGTTGAGAAAGTCGTTCTATGGTCTTAAGCAGTCTCCTACACAGTGGTATAAGAGATTTGCCAGCTAGATGAAAAAGTTGGGATACATCAGGATCCTTTATGATTGTTGTGTCTACTACAACAAGCTAAAAGATGGATCATATATTTATATGGTGCTTTACGTGGATGACATGCTGATAGCTGCAAGTAAGATGTGTGACGCTCAGAAGCTGAAGGATCTTCTTAGCTCCGAATTTGAGATGAAAGATCTGGGTGCAGCGAAGAAGATTATAGGAATGAAAATCTTCAGAGATAGAAAACAAATGAAGCTTTTCTTGTCGCAGAAAACCTACATCGAAAAGGTTTTAGCAAGGTTTGGAATGTCTTCAGTCTGAAGAAGAAATTGAGTATATGTCTCGAGTTCCTTATGTTAGCGCTGTAGGAAGCCTGATGTATGCTATGGTCTTCACACGACTAGATTTAGCACATGCAGTCAGTATTGTTAGCAGGTTCATGGGACATCCAGTAAAGGAATAATGGCTGGCTGTAAAGCGGATTTTTTCATATATTAGAGGTACATCTGAGAGTCCATGTTAGGTGACAGGCTATCTGATTCTGATTATACTGGAGATATAGATAGCAGAAGATCAATGACATGCTACGTGTTCACTTTAGGTGACTCTGTTATTAGCTGGAAAGCAATACTACAGTCTACAGTGACTTTGTCTACTACAAAACCAGCAGGTAAAGAAGGTATCTGGTTGACGGGACTGGTTAGTGATCTACGTCTGCAGCATGATCAAGCTATCATATATTGTGACAGTCAGAGTGCGATTTGTCTATCTAAATATCAAGTTTATCCTGAAAGAACCAAGCACATTGACGTAAGGTATCACTTTCTTAGAGGTGAGAAGTGAGGATCAACGTGAAAAAGGTAGGAACTGCTATAATCCTGTAGATATTTTCATGAAGGCAGTTCCTCAAAGCAAGTTTAAAAATTGTTTGGACTTGCTGAACATCACAAGCTGCTAATCTGGCCCGAGTGGGCGTCTTGCTCTGCATGAGCATCAGTGCCCGGTGAAGGGTGTCTGGCTCCGTAGGAGCATCTGAGTCCGGTTTTGGACATCTGGTCTGAAAAGAAGTCGAGTTTTATGATAGTTGAAACATCTGGCACATCTAGCACACTAAGTGTGCATGTTTGGCATTCTGAGGCAAAGGAGACGTTTGGTACATCTGGCACCATGATGGTGCATCTAGTACATCTGTTAGTAGGATTGAAGTTGATACACCTTAAATCCTAATGCGTAGAAGCTTCCTAGAGGATTCAAGTCAAGGTGGAGACTTGTTGATATTCCTTGAATCCTGGAGCATAGAAGCTTCTTGGCGTTGATGCATGCAGATGCGTGCAGGCTGCACGATCAAGTATACAGGCTGCAGGATCAAGCATCCAGGATGCACGATCCAGCATGCATCATACACGATCAAGCATGCAGGTTACTTGTAGAATGTTAAGTTTACATGCTATGTTTTGAGGTTGCGTGTGTAAGTTTACACGCTGCACGAAGCTGATGTTGAGATCTACATGCTGTGAAAGCTGACATCAAAGACTACAGCCTGCGTGAGCAATGTAGAAGTCTGCGTGCACTTGGGCCGGTATTTCTGCATGAAGGTTCTTACATGGGCCTAAGTGAGCAAGCCTAATTGCGATAGGGTTAACTAGGGTTCATGCTATAAGTAACCATGTTAACCTAATCTCAGACGCATTCTGAATTTTTTGTCTACGTAATAAAATCAGTCTTCTTTGCCCACGGACGTAGCCAACGCATCGTTGGTGAAACACGTTAATTCTGTGTGCAATCTTTAGGTTTATGGTTTTCTTCTTGCATCTGTTACAACAGTTGTATCTAGAAAATTACACCGAGGTAAATCCTTTCTCTTGCTGCAAAATTTGATTATTCTTGTTCATGTTATTTGACTCAAACATATGAATGTGGATTTTTTTAACATGATGTTGCAACTTAGATCTTCAAAGAGTTGTAGGGGAAGCCTGATCATATCATTGGAAAACATACCATGGTGACCAGGCGGCTGAAACTCTTGCTGATTTCTTCACCAAGTGTAAGCAAGACCCATCTCATTGGGACCAGATTTCTTTTGGAGGGCTTCAGAGGATCCAGGAGAAGTAAGTATAAACTATCATTCATATCTTGTAGATTCCTCAATTCATCCTTATAATTTTTTAAAATTTTCAACTATATTTTGGGGTTTTTTTTTAGGTATATCTGGCAAATCTATTCACGGAGGCTCCTAACATTGACTGTTGACTAGGGCTTCTGGAAGCATGTATCAAACCTCGAAAGCCGCTGATATCTTGAGATGTTCTATGCACTGAAGTATCGCCCATTGGTACGCACTGAGGTCACTTTGTTCGACCCTTGATAGTGGTAACATATGTATCTTACTGTTCCTTTATGTCCTGCAGGTTCAAGCTGTCCCTCTAGCTCAAAATTTAGGTTACATACTTTCTCAACTGCCTAAATCACTAAAACTAAGCGTACTCCATTAAACAGATCATAGAAATAGTGACACCATGATATATTGGCAATAAAACAAATCTCTATCACACTGATTCCTTGACCATCAATTCCTCAATTTTTAACATATCATCTCTTCTCTTCCTTTTCACACAAAAACAAACAATGGAGAAGTAGAAGAAGAAGACAAATTAAAATCAGGAAAATACAAAGAAAAACTGATAATTGCCATTACGGGTCATCAGCACTAATACAAGTTAAAAAGAGAATGGTAATATAACAGAATAGAAAGAATTTTATATGTGACTTGTTATTTACTCTTCCGTTTCTAATGAATCTCGAGCTGCAAAACAAACAAATAAAACCCTATAAATCTCTAGTCTCTCCAAAATTATTAGACTACATTGAAGATTCAATATTTCCCTCAAACCAACATACTTTTTTAAAAAAAAAAAATTGTTCAAAAGTAACGTTAAATTGAGGCTAAGATGTTGTTTTTGATCTTTTGACTTTCAAAGTAAGAATTTAATATGTCGTATAGTAAAGAACGGTGTTAACTTTTTTTATTTAACAAGAGGGATGAAGAGGAAGAAGAGCTTATTTACCTGTGGTGTCATCTTTAGGATGGTTCTCAATGCACTTAAGTAAGAACTTGAAAGTCTCGACCTCGCAAGGTATGGTTAACGCTCCGCTGTGATCAAAGCCGTATTCTTCCTCAGCCTTCTCCAACAAGACCTTGAACAGAGAGTGGCTTAGAAAATTTGTGGGTATTATAAATCTCCGGAGCTCAGGTCCAACATAAACCGCCAAATACCCTTTAGGGACATCAGGTGGTGGCTCAGGACTTTGGCAAGTTTCCTCGTCGGAGTCACAAGTCTTCAAATCCAATAGCCTCTTGTTGATAACAGGTGAAATGATGGCTGTGTGCTTTCTAGCTCCCAACTCGGTATCATCTGACTTTGACCCAATCGTGACCGTTTGCCATTTTTGCAGAATCTCCTTTAGCCTCACAATCTGCTTGATTCCGGTTAACTTTGCCGCATTGTTTTCATCCATTTTATCCTAGTAAAGGATAAGATTTTCCCAGGAAATGCGCACGTCAGATTCCACAAATAGTTGATCAAATCAAAGTAAGAACCATATTACATTGTTCTGCTATATATTTATGGCATTGCTTAAGATCATCCAAGTCAATGTCTTCGAAATTAATCCAAAGATAGGTTAATAGATTGGACTAATTAGATGGATCGTCTAAATTTGGCACTTATTTCCAAAATAATGCGGTGGGAAAGTCGTAAGTAATCGAATGTCTATTTTTTACATACTTTTAATCATATTAAGCGAGCAGTAAAATAGCGTAAGAAAATCCTATTTGTTTAAGACACCCACAACAGCATGTTATTAACAAAAATGACGAGAAAAATCAATTTTAACTTATTATTTAACCTAGGCCTGAGCATTACCGAAAAAAGGTCGTCCATTGGCAGGTAAAATTCGGGTACATATAATTCGGAGATATAATATTACTATCCAAGTTACACCCAAAAAAAATAAGGATCTGAGAATATCAGACCGGATACTTCAAATCACAACCTGATTAAGAACCAATTTTTGAATAGAGCAAATAATGTTCGGGTAATTCGTATTATACTGTAATATCGATTTGAAAAACCATTAATCACTTAAATTCTCTTGTACTTTTCTCTAGCTTTCCTGCATTTTCCAGTAATCTAACCATAGACACGCAGAGAATCCAATGCACATCATTCACATAAAAAGAAATCCTCAAATTCCAAAATCATCAAGTAAAATTATGAACAAGACGAATACACATTTTGACTGTTGTAATCACCGAAGATCCGAATACCTGTTAATGCTCATTACATAAAGAATGTAAAAGTTACCAGAAGAGGAAATGGAAATGAAGCACTCTTAGACACGAAGAGGAAACGCCATAAAAAGTACAGATGTAACTCCGGAAGATTTTTTTTTTTTTTTTTAATAATATAATGATGAAGAGAGAAATTTCAAGTAACAGAACAAGGAAAACTAAAATTAAAGTTAAAATTAAAATTCTAAATTTAAATTATTGCTTATTTTGGTTTTCATTGACTATGTTTTGGAAAAGAAAATATTTTTCTTGGCATTCCCGTTACTTTCGCCATTACATTATTTAGATGGTTGTTTGGTTTGTATGTATTTTTTTGCTTCTTTTGTTACTCATGTATGTAAAACAAGTTAGGTTTGACAATGATAAGAGTGTTGAAATCATGTAATAATAAAAGTTTGAAGAAATTGTATGTAAAATATCTGATGGAATATTCTATGAAATATTACTTATGATTATACTATAAATAAGGAGACTTGTATGCTACATAAACAAAGCTAAGTGAGTAAGTTTAAGTTTGAAAAAAACTAAGGATTTTTGTAATCTTTGAGTGTTTCAAATGATAAAACCTTCCATTTTCTTATACAAGTTTTTCTAATATTCTGATACACATATCTAATTTTACTAAAACTCTCATTTGTGGTTGTACCACTATGAGTCTGGAATTCTGATATTAGAGACATGGTAGTTTAAGTTTTAGATCTTATCTTCCAAATAGGTATTGTACCTAGCTACGAGTTATTTTCATCTGAAAGCTGGTATGAAAATTATGCTCTGTGGTTGCCACCTAGTAGATCTTCTATACCTGAAATCATATCAATCTAAGAAAGAAGAATGTAGAAAAAAAACTTATGAAGTCATAATGATCAAAATACCTTGAGGCTCATAACACATAAAGTACAGTAAAACCTCTATAAATTAATACTCGATAAATTAATAATCACTATAAATTAATAAATTTAACTGGTTCCAAGTTGGGCCAATGTAAAAATTCATCAAATTCGATAAGATAAAAAGATAATAATTTTTTTTGAAATCCCTATGTAAATATATGGTCCCAACAAAAACATAAATTAATACTTATATATATTTATACAAATATATGTAAATATAGTATTTTGAAATATGACTAATGTGTTTGTTTTTACTTAAGGTTGAAATCTCATTGGATCTTATTTATTTAATTATTATATCAGTAGCTTTTATTGATGTTTTACGATATACATTCATAATTTATGATAAATTTTAATGTGATAATTGATTTTCTTATCTGTAAATGTTTTTAAATGTATTGTAGTGTTATCTTCAATTTTATCATCAATAATACGGATAGTAACCATAGTCTTTTATAAATTTTAAACTTATGAACATGTATATTTTTACATGGATAATTCAATATGGTATTAAAAACTATTTTATTGCGATAGTTATGATTGTTAAACATAATTTACATTACGAAATTTGTTAAAATTTTAAAATATAACATTATTCCAAAGAAATATTTAGAAAATTATAAGGGGAAAGCAAATTTTCTCTATAAATTAATAATTATTAATTTATAGATAAATTAATATCACGATAAATTAATAAAATATCATAGTCCCGACATTATTAGTTTATAGAGGTTTTACTGTACCTTGAGGCTCATAAAACACCTCATGTGGATTTTTTCAATATTTTTAGTGTGACATCCCAAATCTAGGGTTATGGACTATTTTTTTTTCAGCACCCTAACTCTTAAAAACCTTTCTCTAACTTTTGATCTAACTATCCAAGCCCACCAAAAAACCCCTAAACCCAAAAACCAAGTCCAAGCGTATATTATTCCTTAAAACCCTAAATCTAACCTATTCCATTTCCCCCTATATAAGGAACTCGTGCAAGGAAAGGAAAGCAGAGTCTCAACGCCGGTAATGCCCTACCGAAGTCCCGCCGCCACCCAGAACCTCCAGAGTTGAGCAGGTCCACCGGAGGAGAGAGAAAGAGAGGAGGAGGAGACCAATCCGACCAACCATCTTGTGAAGCATTTTCCCGGTGAACCGTTGCGAATCAGGGGACGATCTACACATCATTTTGATGATTGATAGTACTTGCTTGTTTGTTGTTTAAGTAGTTGACCATATGCATCATTCATAATTGGTTACCCAATTTTATTTATATTATGAATTAAACATTAATATGTGAATTAACAGAACTGAATGAAGTTGGAAATGGGTAATGATTGCGGAATCATAAATGTTGAAGGTGGAAGCTAGTGAGGAATAATAGTAATTAATCAGTGTGGAGTTAATGCTAGTGTGTGATTGTTTGACAGACTAAATATTGTGAAGTTGTAGTGATCGAGAAAGGACTGACAAATCATTGTCAAACCCTGTAAAGGGCGGTGGCACCAGGATTAATTCCCAAATCCTGTGATTGGGCAGATGCATTAATCGTCAAATCCATTTATGGGCTGTGGCATACAATGAGTACTTGGGACATGATGGTTCCTGGGGAATATGAAGCGTCTGTCTTGTTTGTAGTTATGAGTGAGTTTACCCGGCTGTGGCCGTCAAGCCCTGTGGGTTGTGGCAAAGGATTATGTCAAACCCTGTGTGGATCTAAGCAAATGATTATTGTCAAGTCCTGTGTGGGTGGTGGCAGAGAATGAGTATCTTGGACAGTGGTTCATCGGGAATGTAAAGTGTCAGTTTTAGTGAACTAATATAACAGTCATATTTATTAATTTAAAATAAAAGTTTCATTTATTGGCTAGCACATTATGTTTTTAATAAATTAAATATTATATTATGAATTTGTGGGCACTCATGCCTATATCTGATATATTCATAAATTGCATCATTTATTGTACATATTTAAGTCCAAATCATGTCTCATTTGCATACATTTTAGGTCTCTAAGCATTAATTTAGGACTTAGGAGATTGCACTAGGTCTAAGAGAGTTTTGCATGATTTAGAGTGTTAAACAGTTGCTTTTGGAGCTTATTTGGAGTGGAGAAACTGAACCTGGTGAAGAAATGGTGTTGAAATGATCAAAAATAGTGAAGAAAGGCAATATGGAGTTTCTCGGCAAAAGACTGTACTGCTGGTCGAAGTTTCTCGGCTGAAATCGATAACGCGGGTAGGATTCTTAGCCAAAACACGTACCAGCTGCTTAAGCTTCTCGGCCAAAAATATCTGGTGCAGATACATTTCATAAATCACGTTACCGAAAGGTATTTCCGGCCGATTCAGCTTCCGGGTTCTTCATCAAAGATTAAGATAATTGAGTCAAGCTTCCAGAAAAGTTAGAATCAAGGAATTTAAGGCAGTGATCTGAAAGATATGGTTACCGGAAGACAAATCTGTCTCGTACTCATTCCGGAGAAACCCAATACGCCTCAAAGACACCATTACCGGGAAGCCTTCCCTTCTGGTCTGGCTTCCAGGGTCTTCATAAAAGTTTGAGAGCACTGAGTCTATTTTCTATACCGATTGGAATAAAGATATTTGGAGTCGTGAGCTAGGAGATATTGCAATCGGAAGAAGGACATGTCTAGAAGCCAATTGGACCCGTTCAATGCACTTCAAAGATTAGCCCTCCGGGAGACCTTGAACTCACCTGATGCAATTGAGTTACTCATCAAATTTTGAGATGGTTGAGTCCCATTTCCCTTGTACTTGGTCTTCTGTCATTTGGAGTTGGGAGCTGAAAGTTACATGGAACAGAAGATAAGCATGTCAATTCGGGTTTCAAGGGATGCTACTGTGTGCTAAGTGTTATGTCATGCCTCGGTGTGAACATCTCGACTTGTCATGATAGCGAGGCCTATTTACAAAGATTTTGGACTAAACCTTGGGCTAAAACCTCGGTCATACAACACTGAGGCACCTTTGCTCACCAAACTGATCCCCAAACGACTAAGTATCAGCTTAAGCACCTATTGGGATCGATCTGGGATTTGTCTAAGTGTGGAAGCTGACCTCGGTATCAAACCCTCGCCTTTACACCTCGGCCTCCTCTGTGACATGACCCCCTCGACATATCCACCTCGGTGTGACTACACCGAGGTGCACTTCACACGAAACAAAGTTCCAAAACCTCGCCTTAACCCCACGGTGTCTTCTGATCCAAGGTGCTTGTTTTACCGAGTCTAATGCTCTAAAACTCGACCTAACCCCTCGGTGTGAGATATACCGAGGCCTTCTTGTCACCAACCCAGATCACAAACAAGTTTGTTTCACGTGCAAAGATCTAAGCTTAATCAAAGACAAGTTTCATGCATGTTCTTCAAGTGTTCTTCACGTTTCAATCCATTTCCAGTACCCCTCGGTGTGTGGCTTCGGTCTAGGAATTCTTCAAGAGGCCGAGGGGTGGCTCCAGCAACCCAGAAAGGGTGGGTCAGTACCCAGTTTGTCCTGGGCTGACCCGGCCCAAAGCATTCTCTATATATAGTTGTTTTGGGAAAAACCCTTGTTCTTTCTTTTCAATTTCGGTTTCTATTCTACCTTTTAATACTATGTTTTTGATTTTGTTTATTATGTCTGAGTAGTTTTATTGTTGGGTCTAAGGGATTTTCGATGGGGATTTATATGTTTGGTGAGGATTCCATGAGCTTTTGAGCCGAATCTTAGAACTTCTTTTTTCTGAATTCGTTTTTACTGCATAAGAGTAGCGTCATGAACTACAATCTGATCCAGATGCTTGGTGACACGAAAGTGTTCATCCGGTGTCAGATCTAGTTTGGGAGAGCAAAACAAACATAGGAGTGGAAACCTACTTATGGGCGATTTGTGAATGCTGACGAGCTTAAACATAATCCACCTCTTCTTTTCCAGGGCCAGAGTGGAAACCTACTGGTCAGGGTTGAGAGAGATAGTTGTCTATGATCACGACAGTGGTGTATTCATACGTCCGTGACTCCAGTTCGAAAAGTTTAAGCTAAGATCTTATCAAATTTACTCTCTAGCAATGTTTTGAATCGTTCGTACCCCTGAGAAAACTTCCTTGAACCCCAGCGCCTTTTTTCTTATAGATTTACACCGATTTTCATTCATGCTTTAATCTAGTTTCTTTACTCTTTCAATCGATTTTCACTTAGCAATTAGGTCTAGCCGTTTTTCTCGTTTTACCCATTTTCGTTAAGTTTAGTTATTAGGTCATTTTAATTCCCGTATTTTCTCTTTAGGATTCGTTTTTACGTTTTAAACACACCACCAAAACCCTCACAAAACTCGTCTGGTTCTAGACTTCCTTACTTTATATTTCTTTCGAAGGCTTTTGCAGGAAAGATCCTCCTTCCCTGTGGGTTCGATCCCTAAGTACTACAATCGATCAGATGTGCACTTGCGGCTATTGATTTCATTTAGGGTAAAACTTGACACCCTCACGACACACCGCATCAAGTTTTTGAACAGGAAAGTTCCCGGAAAAATTTGATGCTGCTAGGGTTGACTTCGCGGCTTCATGTTTTAACTTATAACCCTAGATATCTGCAAGTGCACAGCTGTACGTTGTAGTACTTAGGGATCGATCCACTGAAGACCAAGTAACTGCAATACGAGTTTACTTGAGATGAGAACTGAGCTAAGATGAAAATATGGGTGTTTGTTTGGAGGTTGTGAACAGTGACGAAAATAGAAAATAATAAACTTAAAAACTAGTAAACAATAAGATCAAATAAATACGAGAAGGTGTTGGGCGTTAGGGAATTTTCCAGGAATCATAGACTAGCTAACAAGAGAATTAAACATAGAGTTTTCAATAGATTGTTCCTGAAATCAAACCTAGACTAACCTACTCACGTAGTATTAATCACAAATCAATTCACTCAGATTTACTAAACTCCCATTCAGTTCTCTAAGTGTCTAGACAAATTAGTTTGATAATTTCACAAAACACTTTAGCTCGACTCACGCCGTCTAAGAGAATTTGTTCATATAAATAGGGTTAATCGATTCAACAACACTTTCGGTGAGTAAATCAACCTAATCGCAGTAGCTAGATTATCGATCCAAGCCACATAATCGAAACGCAAATTTAGACGAAGAAATCTAAGGATAAACCCTAGTCTAACAAACCAGAAACCAATCCATGAATCCCTTTGAAAAATCCCTTAAAACCCAACAAGGGAATTACTCAATCATAGTGTATAAGAACATCATAGAAGTATAGCAGTTTGCTGGAAATTAAATAAGAGAAAGGTAAAGAATGAAGAACGAGGATGAAGATGCAGATCGATGATGGATCCTTCGGCGACTCCTTCTTCTCCCGAAGACGGCAACTCCGAGGCGTGCGGCTCTCTTCTGTTCTCTCTCCACGACTTGGTCATTAGAATGACCTAAAATGAGTATATATAGCCTTCTAAATCGTTGGAAACGTCTAGGGTTTGAAGAATGAGTAGTGGGCTGGACTTGGGCTTGAATTAGGTCACTTTCAGACGTCAACGTTGTCTGGCTGCGGTCGCGGTGGTCCTGACCGCGGGGAATCATGGTCTGGCCGTGGTCGCGGCCTATGCTCTCTTTCCAGACTGTATTTTCTTTCTTTAGTGCATCGGGAATATCTGAAGATCTAACCGTTGGATTGTCTCCAAACCAATTGCATTTGAAATCTGGTTGTCTCTTCTATGTTGTCTCAAATTTTGGGGATCATCGGACGGTGAGAAGGTCTTCATCGAGTACCATAATTCTGACGGTCTGCATTTATCCAAAATTGCTCATTTGCTCCAAATTGCACATCTTTAGTCAAAGTTTCCTGAAAAGTCTTTTAAAACTCTAAAACATAGAAATCACTTAAAAACCATTGAAAACAGAGTTAAAACACCTGCATAAGATATTAAAACGATCCATAAAAATGGTTAAAATCCGGTGTTATCAACTCTCCCAGACTTAAACCTTTGTTTGTCCTCAAACAAAACATAGATCAAGCCAGGAAAAAATCTTTAAAAAAAACCCACAGGAACTAAACAATATCTCAGTGACCATCCTTCTAAACCATAACCTATCGTAAAACATGTATCTGGATCTAGTCTAGAAAATTCTCACCAAAATACAAACATAACTAGTCCGTTGATCTGTAATGCGAAAATCTACACACTTAGATCTAACTTCCAGTAAACTAGCTCTTTACATTCATTAACTGCACAGTGAATTCTCATTCAGGGTAGACGGCGTTTGGTAGTTAAGGGCTATTTAAGTGGTGGAGTTTAATTGTTTCGGGTTACCTGAAGAACTGGAGGATGCAAGATATTATGCAAAACCGCAAGAGAGAGAAGTACCTGCTGATGACCGCAGATTTTCAGTCACTTTTCTTTTGCCAAATGCTGTGGCTATAATCTTCCGCCATTGTTGTAAACAGCTACTCCCCCAGACTTAAGATATTTTTTAGGAATCAGATGGATGATCTCCAAAACTCCAAATAATCGAATCAAGCTTGCCTCAAGTATAAAATTCGATCCTTTTAGACTCTCTAAGGTTTTTATTTCCTTTCCTTTCTTATTTTTTTTTTTTCTTCTCTTTTTCGGTTTTTTTTTTTTTTTTTTGGAAAACTTTTTTTTTTTTTTTTTGAAGGGGGAACAACCTTTTATAGAGAGAGAGTCTAAGGGACGAAATTGTACTAAGATTTTGAAGTTATTCCAAGGCAAACTGAGTTTACTCCTTTTGTTGAATAATTCCAATGAAATCGCAGGTCTCTGTCTTTAGTGACTGAAAACTGTGTTGATCCTCTTTCTCTCCGACGTTTTTGCACATATCTGCATATAGGACAATGAAAAACAAGAGTGAATGTGGTTTGAAAGAGGCTGGGTTACGGTGGGGAACTAGCTAAAGGTGAACTAGCCATTCAGGATCAACAAAGAGTGGTAAAGGGGTAAAGGAATCCTGAATGTATGATTCGTTTCCCTGATCTTATGCTTTAATGAGAAAATTAAGTCAAGATTAAGTCCATATAAAATGAGCTAGTATATCCTGTCAGAAAGAATCTCCATGAATAGAAATCCTCTGGTGGGAGCTCGTAGTGTAAGTACTCTAGCTACCGCCTAATCTAGTCCATTGACAGTGAAATTACCTCCTTGGCGGTTCCATAGAACCACAGCACCATAGGGTAAAACTTCTTTGATCTTGAAAGGTCCAAACCATCGTGATTTAAGCTTTCCGGGAAACAATTTTAGACGTGAGTTATAAAGTAGAACCTGGTCATTAGGTGAGAACGTCTTATGAACTATTTTCCTGTCATAAAACTCATTCGTCTTCTCCTTATAGATCTTAGAGTTCTCATAGGCATTATGGCAAATCTCGTCTAACTCATTTAACTGAATCAAATGTTTTGCACCTGCTGTCTGGATGTCGTAATTCAGCTTTCTTATGGCCCATTCCGCCCTGAGCTCTAACTCCCATGGAAGATGACAAGCCTTACCATAAACAAGTTGAAAAGGTGTAGTACCCAATGGGGTTTTGAACGCAGTTCTATATGCCCAAAGAGCATCATCGAGCTTTGCTGACCAATCTTTTCTTGTCGGTCCTATTGTCTTTTCCAAAATTTCTTTGAGTTCTCTGTTTGATACTGATAACACCGTATTTTGACCACTTTTATAGTTCGTTTTGAAATACTTTTCTAAGTTTTTAATTGCTTTTAAGTACTTTTATTACGTTTTTCTAGTATTTGTAGTTCCAAGACTCTTTTCAGGTAACTTAGGGAAAAGCTTAACAAAATGGATAGAAAACCAGATTTCAGCTCAGAGTCAAACCGTCAGAAGTTCACCCCTGATTGAAGGCCTTCTCACCGTCCGATCCAGCTCAAATTTGAAGACCTTAAAGATGGAAGTATCAGCTTTCCAGTGCACTTTACAGCTTGGCAATCCAACGGTTCAATCAAAGGATACGTGAGGAGCAAGATGTCCCGTAAACCAGCCGGCAAGCACTTCCACCCGCGGCCAACAAGCAATTTCCCGCGGTCAGGAGCATCCCGACCGCGGCAAACCACTCATTCCCCGCGGTCAGAGCACGCCCGACTGCGGCAAGCCAACTCTGAGCCCAAAAGCCACTTTCTGAAGCCCACATTTGGAGAAACCCTAAGTGACGTCCAGAGAGGTCTTGAGCACTATAAATACATGTCTTAGGAACCCTAAATCGAAGAACTCATCACCACCGAAATATTTACTTCATATTCTTATTGTTTTTGCTTTAGCTTTTAGGGAGAGAGAGATTTGTTCTCTTGAACCCTTGTTCTTTCTTTTTCAATTTCGGTTTCTATTCTACTTCTTAATACTATGTCTTTGATTTCGTTCATTATGTCTGAGTAGTTTTATTGTTAGGATTAAGGGATTTTTGATGGGGATTTATATGTTCGATGAGGATTCCATGAGCTTTTGAGCCGAATCTTAGAACTTTTTCTTCTGAATTCGTTTTTACTGTATGAGAGTAGCGTCATGAACTACAATATGATCCAGATGCTTGGTGACGCGAAAGTGTTCATCAGGTATCAGATCTAGTTTGGGAGAGCAAAACAAACATAGGAGTGGAAACCTACCTATGGGCGATTTGTGAATTAGGACGAGTCTTAAACATAATGAATCTTTTCTCTTCCAGAGCCAGAGTGGAAACCTACTGGTCAGGGTTGAGAGAGATAGTTGTCTATGATCACGACAGTGGCGTATTCATACGTTCGTGACTCCAGTTCGAAAAGTTTAAGCTAAGATCTTACCAATTTACTCTCTAGCAATGTTTTGAATCGTTCGTACCCCTGAGAAAACTTCCCTTAACCCCAACGCTTTCTTTTCCATTGATTTACACCGATTTTCTTTAAAGCTTTAGTTCAATATTGCCTTCCCTTTTTAGTTCATTTTCATTTAAGCATTAGAATATCCGTTTTTATCATTTTTAGTCATTTTCATTAAGTTTAGTTATTACGTCATTTAATTCTCGTATTCTCTTTTAATATTTCGTTTTTACATTTTAAACACACTACCAAACCCCCACAAAACCGTTTTTGTTCTAGACTTCCTTACTTTAACTTATTTCAAAGGCTTTTTGCAGGAAAAGATCCTCTTTCCCTGTGGATTCGATCCCTAAGTACTATAATCGATCAGCTGTGCACTTGCAGCTATTGATTTCATTTAGGGTAAAACTTGACAACCCTCGACACAACCACATGAAGTCCACACACCATCAAGTTTTTGGCGCCGTTTCCGGGGAAGGCACGCGTTTTCTTTTCTGCAAAACCCCGAGAAAGGTTAGTAAATCGACTCTAGAACCCCCTTTTTTGAAACTTTCCATTTTTCGGTTATTTTGTTTCTATTTCAGAAGATATGGATCCTATAAATCGAAATATACACTATGAGGAAGGTTTGTATAACACTCCTCAAGCCACCAGACTCAGAGAGAAGCATCTACGCGATCTCTACGCGAAAACTCAACCCGAAGACTACAGAACGTTCCAGAAGGAGCCCTACGCACCTCTGATGGCAAACCCTAGATACTCTATGTATTGCCTACCTCACCAGGTTCTCCAGCAAGATGAGAACGTCCAGCTCAGCAATAGACTGAGTCAGCTCGAAGGCGTGATCAGACAGTTCATAGAAGCTCAAGCAACCGCTACAACTGCCCTAAACGAAAGGATTGATGGGATATCGAAACTTTTCAATGAAAAAATTGATAACCTAGCCTCACAAGTCAATTCAATAGAAGAACGTGCAACCAAGGATGCAGCTATGATTGCTAACAGGTTCAACAGCATGGAGGAAGAGAATAGCAGATTGCATAGTGCCTGTCGACTTCTACATTGTCGAAACGAGATATGCAACCTATCCAGTGATTCTCGGATGGTCTTTTCAAGCAACTTCCGGAGCTATAATGGAGTGGCCTAACCGGAGGATTTCATTTGCTAGTATCGACAAAGATGTCTTCACAGAAGCTGTTCCATACAACAGCAAAGCAGGAAAACGTTCTGCAACAGAAGAGTTTGAAGAAGAACTTTGGAGTGACGAAGAACCTGCTAAGCAAAGCAAGGAGATGTCGAAAAAGACTTGTCTCAGGACAAGGTCTTCTTCATTGGAATAAGTCACGTCCAACACCAAAAGTCGAGCTAAACGACTTAAAACAAAAGCGCTTAATGGGAGGCAACCCATTTAGGTATTGTTTTCTTTAGAATTTTTCTTTCTTTTTCTTTTGATCTTTTTCTTTTTCTTAGTTTCAGGTGTTTCTTATAAAACAAAAAGCCAAAAAAATCAAAAAACCAGAAAAAAACCAAAAAGAAGGATGACTGCTCGGCCCAGCAGGAACCAAGGAGAAGCAGGAAGAGGCCGCGAAATAAGCCCCTGCGGTCGCAGACGTTCTGACCGTGGGAAACTACTCATCGACCGCGGTCGCGTGAATATGACCGCGGCCAAGTACTTGTTTGCCGCGGTCGTGCAGCCCCTGAACGCGGCACTTGGTCGTTGACATCCAAACCCGACCCAAACCACCCCTTTCACCCCATTTCACCTCACCAATCACCCTCCACCTCATTCATCACTCTCCACCACCTTCATCACCACCCAATCACCTTCCCAAACCCCTTCGAATGAATCCGGTTAATCTCCACCAGCATCCCGGATCCAGGTAAGTTCTCTTTGGCCTTACCAATTCGATTATCTATGCATTTTTCTCATCCAATCTCGACTTGTTTCACACTGAGGACAGTGTGATTTAAGCCTGGGGGAGGATTTCATCCCTTTCTAACCACTTTTCTTTCATGAGTCTTGCATTATCTACACTTTTTGCATTTTCCTTAAAGTTTTTCAAAATCGGTTTTCAAAACAAAATACGTTTTAAAGGGAATGGTGAACATGAATCAATGATAGTGACTCTGTGCTTTTAGACTGTTCCTAGTGACATGCTCATTCATGATTTAGGACTAGACTAGGCGGTAGCTAAACACATTTGAAACGAAGTACCCTAGAGGAATTTAAATGATTTCGATTTAGATGAAGGGATACACTAGCTCTGTTTTATTTGGACTTAATTTGGACTTAATTTTCTCATTGAAGCATTAGACCAGGGAAACGAATCATACATTCAGGACTCCTTTATCCTTTTACCACTCTCTATTGATCCTGAATGGCTAGTTCATCTTTAGCTAGTTCCCCACCTTAACCAATCCTCTTTCAAACCACATGCACTCTTGTTTTCTATTGTCTTATATGCAGATAAGTGCAAAAACGTTGGAGAGAAAGAGGAACGACGCAGTTTTCAATCACCAAGGACAGAGACCTGCGATTTGCCGGAAACGTTCCCGGAAGGATTCAACACAAGAGGAAGCTCAGTTTGCCTTAGAAAAATCTCAAATTTCTGTACAATCCCGTCCTCTAGTCTCTCTCTCTTTAAAAGGCATTTCCTTTCCAAAAAAAAAATAAAAAATATCCAAAAATAAGAAAAGAAATGAAATAAAAGCCTTAGAGAGTCTAGAGAGGTCGAATTTTAAGTCCCAAGGCAACTGGAGTTCGATTTTATGGAGTTTTCGAGATCATTTTCTGATTCCCGGAAAGAATTTAAGTCTGAGGGAATAGCTGTTCACGACAAAGGAGGAAGGATTATGCAACAACATTTGGCAAGAAGAAATGACTGAAAATTGCGGTCATCAACAGGTCCTTATCTCTCTTGCGGTTTTGCATATTATATTGCATCCTCCAGATTCATCAGGTAACCCAAACCACTTTAACTCCACCACTTAAATAGCCCTTTAATGCCAAACGCCGTCTACCCTGGATGATGTCTTTAATGAGAACTCACTATTGAACTTAATGAATGTAGAGAGCTAGTTGACTGGAATCAAGATTTAGATTGTTTAAGTTTTGCATGACGGAAAAAGTGGACTAGTATCTCTTGTGCATTGGTGAGAATTTTCTAGACTAAGTTGTGGATTGATGCACTATCTTTGGTCCTATTTTAGGAGTTCATGTCTATGAGATTTTTGCATTTCCTATTTTTGTTTTCACTTAACCAGTTTAGGCTTTCGCTTTGTTTAAGGACAAACAAAGGTTTAAGTCTGGGGGAGTTGATAACACCGTATTTTGACCACTTTTATGGATCGTTTTGAAATACTTTTTCTATGTTTTTAATTGCTTTTAAGTAATTTTATTACGTTTTTCTAGTATTTGTAGTTCCAAGACTCTTTTCAGGTAACTTAGGGAAAACCTTAACAAAATGGATAGAAAACCAGCTTTCAGCTCAGAGTCAAACCGTCAGAAGTTCACCCCTGATTGAAGGCCTTCTCACCGTCTGATCCAGCTCAAATTTGGAGACCTGAAAGATGGGAGTATCAGCTTTCCAGTGCACTTTACAGCTTGGCAATCCAACGGTTCAATCAAAAGATATGCGAAGAGCAAGATGTCCCGTAAACCAGCCGGCAAGCACTTCCACCCGCGGCCAACATGCGATTTCCCGCGGTCAGGAGCATCCCGACCGCGGCAAACCACTCATTCCCCGCGGTCAGAGCACGCCCGACTGCGGCAAGCCAACTCTGAGCCCAAAAGCCACTTTCTGAAGCCCACATTTGGAGAAACCCTAAGTGACGTCCAGAGAGGTCTTGAGCACTATAAATACATGTTTTAGGAACCCTAAATCGAAAAACTCATCACCACCGAAATATTTACTTCATATTCTTATTGTTTTTGCTTTAGATTTTAGGGAGAGAGAGATTTGTTCTCTTGAACCCTTGTTCTTTCTTTTTCAATTTCGGTTTCTATTCTACTTCTTAATAATATGTCTTTGATTTCGTTCATTATGTCTGAGTAGTTTTATTGTTGAAATTAAGGGATTTTCGATGGGGATTTATATGTTCGATGAGGATTCCATGAGATTTTGAGCCGAATCTTAGAACTTTTTCTTCTGAATTCGTTTTTACTGCATGAAAGTAGCGTCATGAACTACAACCTGATCCAGAAGCTTGGTGACGCGAAAGTGTTCATCAGGTATCAGATCTAGTTTGGGAGAGCAAAAAAAACATAGGAGTGGAAACCTACCTATGGGCGATTTGTGAATTAGGACGAGTCTTAAACATAATGCATCTCTTCTCTTCCAGGGCCAGAGTGGAAACCTACTGGTCAGGGTTGAGAGAGATAGTGGTCTATGATCACGACAGTGGCGTATTCATACGTTCGTGACTCCAGTTCGAAAAGTTTAAGCTAAGATCTTACCAATTTACTCTCTAGCAATGTTTTGAATCGTTCGTACCCTTGAGAAAACTTCCCTGAACCCCAACGCTTTCTTTTCCATTGATTTACACCGATTTTCTTTAAAGCTTTAGTTCAATATTGCCTTCCCTTTTTAGTTCATTTTCATTTAAGTTTAGTTATTACATCATTTAATTCTCGTATTCTCTTTTAATATTTCGTTTTTATGTTTTAAACACACTACCAAACCCCCACTAAACCGTTTTTGTTCTAGACTTCCTTACTTTAACTTATTTCAAAGGCTTTTTGCAGGAAAAGATCATCCTTCCCTGTGGATTCGATCCCTAAGTACTACAATCGATCAGCTGTGCACTTGCGGCTATTGATTTCATTTAGGGTAAAACTTGACAACCCTCGACACAACCACATCAAGTCCACACACCATCAGATACCTCCACTTGGCCACTCGTCTGTGGGTGATAAGGTGTACCTACCTTATGTTTCACTCCATTTTTCTTCAAGAGATTCTCAAACACTTTGTTGATGAAGTGGAAACCACCATCACTGATGACAAGTCGCGGAACACCAAATCTTGTATGATCGACTTGAACATCTTTATTGCTACTTTTGCGTCATTTGTGGGGCTGGCTATGGCTTCTACCCACTTAGACACGTAGTCAACAGCAACAAGGATGTACTTGTTTCCAAAAGATGAAGGAAAAAGACCCATAAAGTCGATTCTCCAAACATCAAAAACTTCGACTTCTTGAATGAAGTTTTGTGGCATCTCATTTTGTTTGCTGATGTTCCCTTGTCCTTGGCAAACATCACACTTAGATATGAATTTATGGGCGTCCTTGAACATGGTAGGCCTCCAATAACCAGCTTGTAAAACCTTTGCTACAGTCTTATTAGTAGCAAAGTGTTAGCATAGTTAGATCTGTGACAATGAAAAAGGATTTCTGGAACTTCTTCTTCGGAGATGCACCTGCAAAACAAGTTATCTGCACACTGCTTATAAAGACATGGTTCAGCCCAAAAGTACCTTATATATCACGCAAGAACTTCTTTTTGTTGTAGACGAAGAATCGTGGCGGTTCGACCTCTGCTGCTAGGTAATTTGCGATATGCATAAACCAAGGAAGCTCGGAAGGTTTTGCTTTTGGAGGCGGGGCTGGACGTGTCTCTGGGGTGACTACTTTAGCATTACCATCTTTCTCCACATCTCCAATAGGGTTTGGAGAAATCAATGTCGAGCTTGCATCGGGTGAGATAGTTTTTCCCTTAGATTTCTTTGATTTGCGGTCAGATTTTCTCGCCTTGTGCTTCGATTTTCTCGATTCGACAACTCCCTTAGGCTCGACTGAAAGAGCTTGTATAGAAACGTGTTGGCATCTTTCCTTGTTATCTCCAGGGTCTATAATCAACTTCTCTTCCTTGTAGATGGTTATACAGTAAGAGCTTCCACCACTACAGACTGCAGGATAGAAGATTCTCTTTTTGACTTTAGAAAAACAGACTCTTTGGTTGGGATAATCAACAACTGCCTCCACTGTTGCAAGGAATGAACTTCACAAATATTAACGCCCTGAGAGAGTCATTTTCCATCTCAAGAATGTGAAAATCAACAGGAACAAGACACCCTCCTACTTGCACCATCAAATCTGTTACGAAACCGTATCGAATCGTGCTTGAATTGTCTCCAAACTTAACAGAACCGTGAGGAGGTTTGATATCACATATCCCCAGCTCGTTTGAAACTGCTTTGGACATGACATTCACATTTGCTCCTGTGTCGCATAGAGAGTCAGAAAATTCCATACCTTCAATTATGCAGGGGAAGACAAACTTAACTGAATCGTTTATCTTATGAAGCTTCTTCTGGTGTGGAACTTTGCCTATTGCATCATACTCTTCAGGACATGCTGGAGATTCAACTTCAGTGTCCTGATTGCTAGGAATAGGCGTGACTTCTCTCTCACCATCAGTGTTTATGAAATGCAATGCCACATTGGATTGTCTACGGTTTTTCCCGGAAGGTGACCATCTTGTCTCTTCACACTTTCTCCAATTTGTCCAATTTGTTTCTCGAGCATCTTGACATGAGTTGAGAGGTTAGTGAACTTCTGAAATGACTCCTCATTGTTCTTGTTGAGGTGATCATTCATGATGTCTAACTTGTACCCAAGATCATTCATGTCGGCTAACTTAAGCTCAAGGTTGCAGATGTCTTGGGCGATTTCTTCATGTACCTCAGCGATTCGTCTCTCCATAGCTTCGGTGCTTTTTGAACTATCTATGATTTGTGATAGCTGCACGTCCATGCTATCAACATGAGTGGAAAGAGCTTCAAATTTACCATTAAGGTCAGTGTATAAGCAGTCCACTCTTATATTCACATCGTCTGCTAATCTTTGCAGCTTCATAAGAAGTGGTTGCACCATAAGCTCGAGCTTGTTGTCTTGAGAGGTTGGAGATAATTTTGGAGCAGATTGGAGATTCATATGGGTGTGGTCTTGTGCTCCAAGTTGATGATTAATCTCAGCTGTATTAACTGCTTCGCAGACATTAACAGAACGCTGCTGATTTTGGAGAAACAATTTCATCATGGCTTTATGATCATGGGAAGTAGAACGTGATGTTCTTCCTTGATCAGGACAATTGTTTCTGGTGCTTGCAGCAAGATTATTAATCAAGATGTAAGCTTCTTCCACAGTCCTTGTCATGAAGTTTCCATCGCTTGCTACATTTAGAGGTGCCTAAGATGTGCATTCAAGACCATCGTAGAAAGTGTTCAAGATGCATGTCTCTGTAAAACCGTGGTGAGGACATTCTCTAATGTGGCCTTTAAAACGGTCCCAAGCTTCATGAAAAGGTTCGTCTCCTTTTTGTTGGAACCTATAAATCTTTTGTCTAAAGAAGTTTGATCTAGAGGTGGTGTAGAAATGGTTAAGGAAGACAGCCTTGCATTCTTCCCATGATTCAAGTGAACCAGGAGACAAAGACTTGAACTAAGCATGTGCCTTATCACAAAGAGAAAATGGAAACAACTTGCACTTTATGTAATCTGCAGGAACTCCGATGGATTGCTTGGTACTGCAGATTTCTTCAAAATCTTCAAGATGGTCCATAGGGTTCTCCGATGCCTCGCCATGGAACCGGTTCTGCTTGACCAATTTTATGAGTTTCGTGCTAATCTCATAGTCTACGTTGATGGGCTGTAGACTAATGTGAGAACGGTTCTCATAGAAAGCATACGGAGTGTTATAATCTCTTAGAGTTAAACGAGGAGCGTTTTGGAACCTAACCTGCTCATCAACGTTTTGCTGGAGGTGATGGTTATCTCTAAGCCTATCTTAACTTTGCAAGTGTCTATTGTTATCGCCCATCTATATTTTTTGTGTGTGTGTGTGTGTTTTTTTTTTTCATTAATTAATTTATATATATTTTTATATTATATATATATATTTTTCGTTTTCATTTTTTTAGTTTATATATATATTATAATTTTTTTTAATTTCTTTTTATGTTAACATATATATATATATATTTATTTATAAGATAATAAATATATATTTTTTAGTTATATATATATATATATATAGATTTATATATATATTTATATATATTTTTTTTTTCGTTTTTTAATATTAATTTATATATATGTATATATATAAAATAATAAATATATTCTCTTTTTTTCTTTTATTTTTTTTCAAAAATGAACAAGAGAACATACCTTATACTCGATTCTGACCTAAAACTCGTAGGCAACGTTAAAGGTCCCCGGCAACGGCGCCAAAAACTTGATGTGCTCAGGCTTAAAGACGAAATACTATAATCCTTCCTCCTTTGTTGTAAACAGCTGTTCCCCCAGACTTAGATTCTTTTCGGGAATCAGAAAATGATCTCCAAAACTCCATAAAATCGAACTCCAGTTGCCTTGGGATTTAAAATTCGACCTCTCTAGACTCTCTAAGGCTTTTATTTTCTTTCTTTTCTTATTTTCAGATTTTTTTTATTATATTTTTTTTTTTAAAGAAAATGTCTTTTAAAGAGAGAGAGAGAGTAGAGGACGAGATTGTACCAAAATTTGAGATTTTTCTAAGGCAAACTGAGCTTCCTCTAGTGCTGAATCCTTCCGGGAACTTTTCCGGCAAATCGCAGGTCTCTGTCTTTGGTGACTAAAAAATGCGTCGTTCCTCTTTCTCTCCAACGTTTTTGCACTTATCTGCATATAAGACAATAGAAAACAAGAGTGCATGTGGTTTGAAAGAGGATTGGTTAAGGTGGGAAACTAGCTAAAGATGAACTAGCCATTCAGGATCAACAGAGAGTGGTAAAAGGATAAACTAGTTAAAGGTTGTTTTTCACGGATTAAACTAAAACAAAAGAAAGCAAATAAATCTATCCTACGGAACAAGTAGAATAATCGAATAAAAAGGAAGTAAAACAAGCAAAATATCGAACTAAAGTAATTGAAATGCAGATCTAAATAAGCAAGTGATAATCGATTGGTTTGTAAACTATGGCTAAAAACGTTGAGCTTTTGGGAACTCTACAGGGATCATAATCGGTTTAACACTAAGGTAGATAGATTGGGATTGACGGATATCGATATATAGGGTTCTAGAGCTAGAGTACGGCAGTATGACTACGTAACTGTCGTGATCATAACCAACTGTTTCTCGCAACCCTGACCAGTAGGTTTCCACTCTGGCCATGGAAGGGAGAGAACGCAAGAGCTGCACAAGACTCGTCAATACTCACAATCTCGCCGCAGGTAGGTTTCCACTCCTACGGAAAAATCGCCTGTTTCATTCTAGGGCTGATACTTAATGAAAACTTTCGCAACACTAACTATCTAGATCAGATACTAGGTGATCAATCAACCATACATGCAATAAGAACAAGAATAAATAGAGAACAAAGTTAAAATCCCAGATCTATAAACCTAGATGTCTTAATCGATTATGAGAGCCCCTTTCGGGAACCCTAAGCCCAACTCGGGATCTACTCAGACATGGCTGAGGTCGACATCATCATTGGTTTTAATAAAAGTAATAAAAAACAGTAAATAAAAGAGATGAAGAAAGCTTCTCTATTGATGAACTCGGACTTGAACAATCTTCTACAAAAATCGCATAAGAACGGCTAAAGGAAAAAGGGTTTCTGTAAAGTATGAAGGGTGGTGTCTAAAAACGACCTAAATGACAAGTATTTATAGTCTTCAATACTCCATGGTCTCTAGGGTTCCGGAATTGAGGCTGAGAATGACTTTGGGCTTCAGAAATATGGGCTTTAGTTCGGAGTTAGCCGGCCGCGGTCGGGAATGATGTGACCACGGGAAATAGGTGGCTGGCCGCGGTCGGAAGGCTTGTGACCGCGGGGAATGGGCTGTTGGCCGCGGTCGCGTGACTTGCTGGCCGTCTTCGAGTGGCTCCGGGGCTAATGGAATATCTTGAGATCCAACCGTTGGAATGTCTCCAAACCAAGTGCATTTGAAAGCTGGTTGATTCTTCTATAAGTTGTCTAATTTTGAGGGTGATCAGACGGTGAGAAGGTCTTCGTCTCTCCATGAGAGTTCTGACGGTCTGCATTTATCCAAAAGAGTCTTTTTGTTCCAATTTGTGCCTCTTTATCCCAAATTACCTGAAAAGTCTTTTAAAATCCGAAAACATAGAAATCCTTTGAAAACCTTTGAAAATGGAGTAAAAACACCTGTAAAAGACATTAAAGTGATCCATAAAAATGGTCAAAATCCGGTGTTATCAACTCCCCCAGACTTAGTCTTTTTTTTGTCCTCAAACAAAACAAAGACTAAATCTCAGCGAGAGGTTTGAAAACGCAGGAACTAAACAAAAT